AGAAAATCAAGTTACTTTACATGATGTATTCATGGAGACACAAGAGACACTTAATTACATTGCCAGGGCATTGAATGCTGTTAATATTATAGGCAAAGCTGTTCAAAGAGAACCTACTTATGAGTCAATCATTGGATCTTTTATTAATGGAATGAAGTTAAAAGATAACTATTATGATATTGAAGAACATTGTGTAAAGTTTTTGACAGCTTTGTCTGGTGTTGGAGGCCCAGTAGCTGAGGCTAGTGATATGATAAAGAAGAAATGGATGAGCATATGTACTACTGTAGGACTCAACATTACATTTGAAGGTAAATTGTATGAGACATGTTTTCTCAAGGGTAGTAGGGACTGACTTTAGTATTTTTAAGTAGAAATATTCAGTATTTTGTGCGTAGGAAATGCTTCAAAAATGGATGATATGCCTTCAGCTGCTAATGCAGTGCAAATGAAAGGTCATGCATCAGATAAAAGTAAGCTAGTATTGAGTTTAATATTATTATTACTGAGTATAGTTTTGTTAGCTACAAACCTCCTGTTAGACAAGAAGCCTGAAAAGAGTGACCTCCTTAGGCTATTCAAAAGTTCTGCTGCTCATTATATGATCATTGGGACTGCATTTGATGTTGAAGTGGATGACCTCTCACCGCACAATCCAGAGGCTACTACTATCAATCTCATTAAAGTTTTTCAAAAATGGCTACACTCCAATAATGATGTGACCTGGAGGAATATTGTACAAGTTTGTGAAGATTATCCAGATGAACTTGGAGAAGCAAAAGCTAATGTGCAAAAATTTCTTTTGTCAGACAGGGCCCTTGCTAAATATCTAAAATAATCATACATTGCCTTCCTGTGTTAGTTATGCACTATTAAAATTATTTCGGGTTCCTCAGTTTTTTAACTTTTTCTACTGAAGTGCAACTCTTGACTCTAATTAACTGCATGGACACACAAATAACCTTTTGAAATATATACATGTATAATTTATGCTTAGCAATTTATTTTTATGAGTTGATGTGTTGTCATCTTTTAATCAATCACCTCTCCCACCATCAACCAACCAATCAAATCAAAGGAATATTGATATCAAAGAGCCTTATGATGAG